TTTGGATATTCGTTTTTTGATTTATTTTTAATTGTTATATATTAGGACATGATAGTGCCGCGTGAGACTCGTTTTTTTTTTTTTTTTTTGATATTCGTTTTTTGATCCATTTTTAATTGTTATATATTAGGACATGATAGTGCCGCGTGAGACTTTTTTTTTTTTTGGATATTCGTTGTTTGATCCCTTTTTAATTGTTTTTGGGTTTGAGTTCGTCAAATTTTAGGATTTTTTCACTATTTTTGGGCTTTAAACAATAAGTCCAGAGGAAAAAAACAGAAAAACATTAAAACTAAAAAATCCATATGATAATAAATTCAAACGAAAAAACTAAAATACATAATTGCTGCGTGGTTTGAACCCACACACTTGCAGACTTAATTACATGCCTTATACCACTTTGATAAAGTGTATTCATTGTTCATAGTCATTTTAAAAAAACTATAAGCTTTTAAAATTTAAATATGCGGGGTCCACTCGGCTGCTGATGTGGATAGCCTTAGGAGCTTCAAAAGTGAATCATTATTATATAGATTCAATGGTCTAAATGTCATATATTCAGAAAACTAATTAGATAATACACTTCTCATTTTGTCTTTCAAGTTATTAACAGCAATCTTCTTCTCCTCTAATATTCAAACTTCATTTTTTTTAGAAACTCTCTTTCTGACAATTAACTCCTTAATTCACTATCACCAACAAAGATTTTCCTTTAAAGCTGATAGCACATATTTTCTTAACATATTCCACTCATTATTAACTAAAATATAACTAAAGCATAATTTGTAAGACCAACTAATTCCTCATCTTCTCTTCTTTATCAGATCTTATTTTCTTTTTTTCAGATATTTTTTTTCAGACGACTAATTTGTCCTCTTCACCATGCTTCATGGTCCCCATCCGTGACCCCGATGAACCTCAACAAAGCTCGATTGTGGTTCATCTTCTCCTTCTCCATGAACCAACATGAACAAGCTTCCTCCTCCACACCGTGCTCCGTAGCTCATCGTCCTAGCACCGAATAAAAAGAAGAAGCAAGATTTATGTTTTTGTTGTATAAACATTCATTTAGAGCTTCAAATCGGGTCTTATTAGATATTTTTACATGTTTAAAGGTATAATAAGCAAGAAACATGAAAAAAAACAGATGATAAAGGTAAAAATAATGGCTGGCGGCAATAGAGGGAAATTGAAGAAAAATCCTAATTGATTTTGGGGGAATTGAAGTTTTTTTTTTATAACACTTGTAACAAGGACCGTACAATATTGGGTACAGAAAATACATAAAGAGAAAAAGTGGGAGATCAGTAGACCCCGACAACATCATGAAAGGAAAAATACCTAGCTGATCCCTTACTCTTGAGCCTCCAACTTGAGAAGATGATATAACCACACTGGAGCATGCATGGCTATGTATGACTGGTAACGCTGATCACGAGTAACACTTACAGCAATTGCCACTGCTGCTTCATTGCGTTCTTGAAAGGCGTGATCTAGACTCCATACGTTTATTCTTTCCAGAAGAGAAAAAATATTATGACGGATGAGGCGGGAGTCAGAGGATTGATGGTAATCCGGCTGTGTGAGTATGTTATGAAGGCTGTCGGACGATGTCTCAAAAAAAATATTTGAGAAGTGTAGGTTAGCCATACATTCAACCGCCCAGAATAGGGCCCATAGATCCGCCTCTGTTTTTGTACGCATGTATGAATAAGCCCGACGGCTATGCATGATCGTAACCCCATTTCCATCACGTAGTATCCATGATGCTCCACTAGGTTGATTGGATTTCACCCATGAGGATCCAATATTACATTTCAAGGAACCAATCGGGGGAGGTTTCCATCGCAACATTTCCGTATCGATACTAGTATCCACATCAGACTTCGCTGTGAACGTATCAAACCATTCAGATTCTGCTTGATAAGCTTTTGTAGCCACGACCGAAGCATCGATAACTTTACTCTCAAAAGTAAAAATATTCCGAGCTTTCCAAATTTCCCAAAGTAGCCATGGGAAAACTTTTCCTGTATGCTTATCCATATTGAGGTTCTGGCAGCCTTATTCAGATGCACAAAGTTTAAAAATGTGAAATTGCAAGAGAAACCCCCTGGAGGTAATGGAAAATTCGACTGTTCCCATGTGGCTCTTGCTTTATCACAAGTAAAAAGGACATGACAGATACTCTCAACCCCATTACCACAGAAAGAACATGTTTGGTCAATATGAATACCCCGAGTAGCCAGACGTTGTTTAACTGCTAACGCACCAGATAGAGCACGCCACATGAAATGTTTGATTTTAGGTGGGGCTTTAGTCTTCCATAGATCCTTCCATAATTGTTTTTCAATTGGACTAAGAGAATTTTGCGGAGGGTGTTCATAGTCCATTAAAGCTTCTGAAAACTTATATGCACTCCGAGTTGAATATACTCCATTTAATGTGAAACCCCATTTAAAAGAATCTTGAATAGCAACTGCCGGTTTTAGTAATAGAATCCTTTGAACATCTTGTGATGAAAAGGTCTGATGTAACAAATTAGAATCCCATAGATTTGATCCTTGGATGATTAAATCAGAAACTTTCAATGCTAAGTTTATGGGACTATTTTCCTTGTACATTGGAGGCCGAGGAACAATATCAATAATCCAATTTTCTGCCCAAACATTAGTATCCATCCCATTACCAATATGTCGAAACAAACCCTTTTTGAGTAATTCTCTACCATGCATGATACTCCTCCATGCGAAAGACGGACGAGTCCCCATACCACAATCGAGAAAATTACCATTTTTAAAATACTTGCCTTTAAGAATTCGAGAAACCAAGGAATCCGGATTATTCCAAATTCTCCAGGCTTGTTTCCCGAGTAAGGCCTGATTGAAACGACCAATGTCATGAAACCCAAGCCCCCCCTGTTCTTTTGGTTTACATAACTTTTCCCACGCTACCCAGGGGATCTTTCTCTTCTTATCCCCACTACTCCACCAAAACTCTATAATCGCACTAGTGATTCGCTCACAAAGACCCTTTGGTAACCGAAAAACTGACATTGCATATATTGGTAGAGCTAATGCAACCGACTTTATCAACACCTCCTTGGCCCCCATCGACAAAGTTTTGGAATACCATCCCTGTAACCTACCCTCTAATTTCTCCTTTATGAAATTAAGGAGATCTATTTTTGATCCCTGAAAACATTCGGGAAGTCCAAGATATGAACCCTCACCACCTTCCTTTTCAATCCCCAGGACCCTCTTTACTGCTTGTTTGGTG